TTATTCTTAATTTCATTGAAGCTATCACACCTATTTAATAGATCAGTCCAAAGAAAAGGCGCGAAGATTTAGTCTTTGCGTTTGGTGCATTCTATAATGTTTAGACAGGTGTACTGTTGCAAAAGTATAGACAAGTTCATTTAGAGCAGTACTCCCAATAGCGAAAGAAAAAAGGCCCCACGATTTACTCGTGACGTTATGCGGGAAATTGTGAATGGCCTGCACATGGGCGTCGGAAGCAAATTGAAAAGGGGGGGGGGCTAATCGAAAGTGAGTGGGCTAAACCAATAAAAAAAAAGTAAATCCCAATTTCAATACCTATATAATATCTTTTTTTCCGACGCCAATGGAGATTGACGAGTGCAGAAGTAGATAGAAGTGCAGAAGAAGATTATATCAACATGCCTTAATATGAAATAGCATGGGAAAGAGTTAAATTCATATAAATAAAATGTAAAAGACTACTTGGATTGTCACGTAGTAATAACGTTACAATTCTGTGTAAAACTAAAGATTTATTCCAGGGTCTTCAAACATTTTCTTTTATTGGTTTTGGCTGGTTCTCAAAGTAGAAAAAGAAAAGACTAAATGTACAAATGAGAGATACCTACTATCATTTGTTTTTGCAAGACGGAAAAACAGATCTTAAATCATGGTTGTAAGTAATAGTTTTTTAAGAAACAATATCGATGTATATAGTAAGTATAAAACGTAACCACTGTTTTCCCATACACACTTGTGTCATATTAAACAAACAGAAGAGACAAAAATAAGAAAATCATTTTTTAAAAGATCCTTTAATAGAGTTTATATTAACATTCTTTTCTCAAAGATATTTAAAGTTGAACATTGAACATTGAACATAAATGATATCTGATTCCTTGACCGTCGAAGGGCGAGACATGTCTTTCAGCGAACCATTTCTACCTTTTCATGAAGGTGTAACGAATCGGGTTAGTTCACTTTTGGGATAAACGGGAAATTAAAAAAAAGTTAAAAATGATTACCATTTCACTTCTTTTTTTACTTACCTATATAAGATGTAGAATATGTTCAATCTGTTAAATATACTTTCTAAACCTCGAAATTTAGGCTTAAAGAACGTTCCTTTATCTCAATTTTATTGAAGCTATCACGCCTATTTAATGGAACATTCCAAAGAAAGGGCGCGAAGATTTACTTGTGGCGTTTGGCGCGAAATTATAAATAGTGGCGCGCCTTTCGTAAGTCTTAGACAGGTGTATTGTTGAAGAAGTATATACAAGTACATTTAGAGCAGTGGACTCGATAGCGTAATTTAAGCGCGTTGGAAATAAAGAGGAAAAAAAGCGCGTTGGATTTTCACGCTGGCGACCTGGGTTCAATCCTCTTTGTGACCAAATTTTTTTTATCACTTTTTCAGCTCGATTTCGCGGGTTTTCTTTTTTCCAGAATCGGACGGAAGACCTCTCGTTGCTCGCAACGAGATCGTTTCTAGTTATTATTATTATTTTTCTGACACGATTTCTCGACAACTACTGGATAGAATTACATGAAATTTTCAGGAAAGATGTGTTGTAAGATACTCTTGAAAGTTCCAAAAAATTCTTTGGAAATTCCTTTCTGGTGCGCCAAGTTTCGGACCATTTTCCTGATTTTAAAACGACATTTTGTCCATGGTTAATCTCAAGAACGGTACAAGATATCAATGTGAAACTTTCAGAGAATATAGATGGTGATCAATACTATCCAGGACGCCACGTTTCATTCGTCGTCAGTACTTCCGGTCGCTACCGGAAGCCAATTTAAAAACTCCAATTTTTCAACTTTTTTGTTTTTCAATATTTTTTCTTGATATTGGTGTGGTTATTATAGACTCTTTCAATAATACTTAATATTAATTTGTTCTTGAATCGATATAGCCAGTCTCGAGATATTTGTATTTAAAAATTTGAAGCAGCGGTTCCCAATGGCATAATGGTTAGCGCGTCGGATTTTCACGCGGGCGACCCGGGTTCGATCCCCCGTGTGTGCGAATTTTTTTATAACTTTTTTTGCTGGATTTTTCGTGTTTTATTTCAGAATCGGACGGAAGACCTCTCGTTGCTCGCAACGAGATCGTTTCTAGTTATTATTATTTTTTCTTCTTCCTAGGAAAATCTTTTCCGCGAGTGATCTTGTAAACTATACATCCTACTAAGGTGAAACCTTTTTAGGGTCAGTAGGTATGTTATGTAGATTTACGGAACGAAGGTCATTTTGCGCGCCCGTGCTTGCAAGAGCGCGCACGTGCAACACGTGAATGACCAATAAAATGGATATTACCATAACTTTTCTATTTTTTGACGAAATGTTTTGAAACTCATAATGTAAGGATATATAAGTAGTATAGACAAGATGGCATGGTCAAAATAGCAATATCTCACGCGTATGCACGTATCGCTCTGATTGGCTGAAACTCAATATCTTTCTTGCTTTAGGTCATAATTCTTTGAAATTTTTAACTTAATCAAACATTATGAAGATCTACAGCACGATTTATAAGAATTTTAATGAAAGCACGTACATGCATGTGTGCTGGCAAGAGTGCGCACGTGCAACATGTGAAATTACCAATATAATGGATATTGCCGTAACTTTTCTATTTCTTGATGAAATTTTTTGAAACCCATAATGTATGGATATATAAGTAGTATAGATAAGATGACATGGTCAAAATAGCAAGATCTCACGCGTATGCATGTGTGCTTCGCTTTGATTGGCTGAAACTAAAGTCTCAATATCTCTCTTGTTTTACGTCATAATCTTTTGACATTTTGAACTTAGTCACCCATTATTATGATCTACAGCATGATTTAACAGAATTATCTTGAAAGCACGTGAATCTAAGTGTGCTGTAAGACAGATTGGCTGATTTTTAAATGCCTATAACTTCCTTGTTTCTCAACAAAACAGGATGAAATTTGGAATACAAATAGGCATAATAGACTTCTACATGATACTACTATCAGTATTGAATGCAAGGACGTGCTTGCATGCACTTGCGCACGCAAAATGTGCAAAATAAACAATATATTTGAAAAACGGTAACATTTATATTTTCATGATTTTTTATTGATTCTTGGAATATAAAGATATGTAAATCGTTCAGAAAACGTGCTTTCGCGTGCAATGCATTAAATCACAAAAAGCTGATATCATTGTAGGTTTTAAAATATTCTTTTATGAAATCCTGCGATACTGAGCATATTAAATCATTTTTTTTAGGAAATTGGCACAAAAAGGGAGTTGGGGAGAGTTTGGGGAACATCTGTAACGGTCCCAGTTAAAACGTTTGTTTTGGAAAATGCTGAATTATCTATTAGAGATGACTCTTGAGTATTTCGAGATTTTCTGACAATGGACCCTAAAATTATGTTAAGCAACAGGTCAGAAAATGATGTAGTGTATATTTCACATTCCAAATGTTTTAAGCTCTATGTTTTAAATTCAAAATGAAATCTTTAAAACTGATCCAATATAATTGAAAAAATAAACGAATGTTTGCATTAGTACGAGGGTTGTCCAAAAAATTCGTGGACAATGACGTTTCTTTGTGAAAATAATTGGTTTTATATGCATCTATTGTATATCAAAATATTTCTTATGAGAAATCAGAATGATATAATTTTTATTGATGGAGCGCAATATTTTTTTAAAAATCGGGGTCTTTAAAGGTCGCGAATAGTGCGCATGGACCAAGGTTAAAATGACATAAGCTCTGGAACAAAGGGCTCGGAATAAAATCATTATTTTCTATATAAGAAAAGTAAAAAATTAATACAAATTTTATGTAACACAAATAAAGAGACTATAATCATTTCATGATATCTTAAGTTTCGCTTAGTCTATAGACAGTACAAATACTAAACAAAAATCCTGACAAATATTAGTCAAAACTCGACGAAAGAAGGCGACGTCGGCCGTCCGCAAGGGGTAGCGTCCGATCAAAAAAAGTTTTTATGCGGTTGAAACAACTTAAGAGACAAAATATCTGTTGAAATAACTCAAAATTATTGAAATATATTTAGTGTTTCAATTTTAGATTGGTGTACTCAATTTTTTAACGGTGTGTACAAATTCGAAGACACTACAAGAATCTAAAACACATGTAATTTACTGAAAATGGAGATTTCTATACATGACATTGTTATAAATCTAGCTCAGCGTCGGACTGCATGGCCTGTGCAGTTTGTGTAAACAAACTGTTTATTTAGATGACGCTCGCAAATTCATGTGCATTGCTTTGAATTTTAAAAATTAAATAAATTAAATCTATACTTACAGATTATTGCCAGAACTTGGAAGTGCGTTGCACCTTAAAAAGAAATGAAGTGTGTGTCCATGTACATGTGTTAAGAAAAATCCGAATGTTTGACGTTAAAATGAAATAAGCTTAACGTCATACTGGTCCGTGCGAACAATCAGCGATCTTTAAAGACCTCGATTTTTACAAAAATATTAAGTTTCCTCAATACAAATTAAACCATTCTGACTTAGATTTTCATAAGAAATATTTTGATATACAATACATATACTATTTAATTTGACAAAAACGTAATCGTCCACGAACTTTTTGGACAACCCTCATACACGTTATTCTAAAAAGTGCACCAAACGTCCAGATTTAATAATCTATTGAAAAAAAAATTCATGCACATTGTCTACAGAACACCTTTTCAAAAATTGAATTGCAAGTTGCCGTGATAACTCTTCATGCCTTGTGTGTATTAAAATTTCCATTACGATGTTGAAAATAATTGCGGTTTTCTAGAACATCCTCCTTATTCAGGCCATAAAAATGATGCATATTTGTTTTAACCCAAACATCAAACTTTAACCAAAAAAATAAATAAAATAATTTGCATTCTTTACATATTTAAATTTAAAATCTAAAATGTTTTTTCTAATTATTATACTACTTAAATTCCTTTCTAACTGTTATTATTGTTTGATTTTTAAACAGTGTCATTTGATGTGAAATGGATCCCCTGGACAGAGCTCAAGTACTCCTCCTCTGTGACCTGTGTGAAAAAGCTGCATTACAGAGTCATTGTGAACTTTGTCAGATTAACCTGTGTAAGACTTGTGTAGGGGAACATCTCTCTGATTCATTAAAACGACATAATGTTGTACCATACAAACATAGAACTCCTAACTATCCAAAATGCCCAGAACACACCCAGAAATATTGCGAACTTTACTGTGAGAAATGTGACATTCCTGTCTGTTCTACCTGCATCTCCTCTGGGAAACACGATGGGCATAAACTAAAAGATATCCTGGAAAGACCAGGCTTGATAAAAGAAATTTTGAAAAGGGATTTGGAAGACCTAGAGGAAATAATATATCCTACTTATGCAGAAATTGCCTCAGATTTAAACTCTGAAAAACTAAGCATGGAAAAACATTACGATAAACTGACAACAGCTGTCACAAAACAAGGAGAAGACTGGCACAATGAAATTAACGACATTGTCAAGAAACAGAAATCTGAAATTGAGGAGATGAGATCTAAATCGTTGGCTGTTCTGAATAAAAAGGGAAGAGAAATTGAACAGATTTTATCTGATGTAAAAGAAAGTTTGTTTAATCTGAAGAAAATATTAAATTCAAATGATGACTCTCTAGCATCTGCCTACAAATCCAGGAATGCTGAATTCAGAAATTTGCCTCATAAAGTCCATATATCATTTCCAAGTTTCTCTCCTTATCAAATCAACACAGAACAACTCAATCAAATGATTGGTTCTCTATCAGCATTATCCATTACAACAGATGATCATGGCTACACATTAAAGACCAAGGAACCAGCTGTATTCTGTCCTCCGATCAAACGACTGCTTAATAGAGCAGAACTCGTCACCACAATAATCACTAGGTATTATATATACAGTGTTATTTGTCTCAGTAATGATGAAATCTGGACATGTGGTGACAGAATCATGAAACTCTACAACATCCATGGCAAATCTCTGAAGTCAATCCAAACCAACTCAGAGAACAAACCACGTGACATAGCAGTAACAAGGAGTGGGGATCTAGTTTATACTGATCCTGATGCAAGAACTGTAAACATAGTGAAGAATGACCAGATAAAGGAAGTGATTAGACTACAGGGGTGGACACCTTACTATATCTGTATTACCTCCTCTGGTGACCTCTTAGTGACCATGGACAGTGAAGATGATGAACAATCAAAAGTTGTCCGTTACTCTGTTTCCAGACAGAATCAAACCATTCAGTATGGTAGTGAAGGTAAACCTCTGTATTCATCTAGTACCTACACTAAATACATCAGTGAAAACAGGAATATGGATATCTGTGTGGCTGACTATACAGCCCAAGCAATAGTGGTTGTTAATCAGACAGGAAAACTCCGATTTAGATACACTGGTCATCCCTCTGCTACCAAGAGATCATTTAATCCTTTCGGCATTTCAACAGACAGCCTTAGTCAGATTCTGACAGCAGACTATAATACACAATGTATTCACATCCTAGATCAGGATGGAAAGTTCCTCCGTTACATTGATCATAATGATTACTGTGATTTACGGCATCCATGGGGTTTATGTGTAGACACCAAGGACAACTTATTTGTGTCTGACGCAAACGGTGGAAAAGTGAGGAAAATTAAATACATGCAAGCAGTGGTTTAAGTTAACTTTGTTCTTTTGTCTCCCTCCCGTCGAGTACATGAGATAATGCTTTTTAACCTCGTCCTTGTCATATTTCAACGTCAAAAAGGAAGTATTTAAAGGCATAGGTTTTGCTGGGCATAAGGCACATACCAGAGCAGAGGAAAGTGTTAATTTCCGCGCCGCATTAGTTTTATCCAGTAGGAGTCAGGCTGTATAATGATTTATTTTTTCATGATCCGAAACTAAGAGATTGACATACTTAGAGAGCTAGATTTTGTGCAAGCTGATTTTTTACCTGCATTTTAAAAGAAACGAAAAGTTTTCAGAAGAAAAGAATATTACTTATTCAAAATACTGCAGCGTTTACTTCCTTCACCCTTTTTGCATGGAACAGATTATCCAATGTGATTCACCATTTCATCATATCCGTGTATCATTTTTTTCTGCATTTCTATACTACTGAATCAGTCCTTTTATATTCAACGAAAGGAATGAATCGCTCATTTTGCGCCAAATTCCACTAGTAAGCTAACTTTGCGCCTTGAATTGTTCTATTGTATGAATAGGAGAGCTAACTTCCATAGAATTAAATAAAGTTTGTCCTATTAACCTTCTTCTTATGAAGATTTTAGCTCACCTGAGCCGAAGGTTGAAGTGATCTTTTCTGATCAAAAATTGTCCGTTGTCTGCCGTCGTTGTTATTGTTGAAAACTTCTCAAATTTTCACCATTTTCTCACGAAACACAGGACCAATTTTAACCAAACTTGCTACAAAGTATCATTAGGTAAACAGGTTTCAAGTTTGTTTAATTAAAGGATCTCGCCCTCTTCCACGGGAAGATATTACTTAGTGAAAAATTAATGGCATTTAAAAAAAATAATTTTCTTCTCCAGAACCACTAAACCAGGAAAGATGAAACTCATGTGGAATCATCCTCGGGTAGTGTCAATTCAATTTTTTTTTTCAAAACATGACCCCCGGGGGTAGTGTGGAGCCGAAAAGGGCGATCAATGTTTTAAATAAGAATATATAGGAAAAATCTTTAAAAATTTTCTTCTCAAGAATAATTGGGACAGGAAAGATGGAAGTCATGTTGAATCATCCTAGGGTAGTCAACATTCATGTTTCTATAAATCATGACCCCAGGGGTAGGGTGGGACCACAATGGGTTATTAAAGTTTTATATAGGAATATATACAGGATAAATCTTTTTACATTTTCCTTTTCAAGATCCATAGGGACAGAAAATATGAAACTCATTTTCAGGTAGTTTACTATTAAGTCTCTTTAAACCACGACCCCCGGGGTAGGATCTAGTATCACATCAATCAAAATGTTGGCAGATATGCATTAAATTTGGAGAGGACTAATCTAAAATATAATCAACACTGAAACCAAATAATATTTTTCTGCAGTTAGAGTTGAAGTGTTTTGTAGCAATCAGTCGATTTTATGCGCTATTCATTTCATTTCCGAAACATTTTAACAAAAGGCTACTCCATCAATAATTTTCATCGCAGTCACATCTTTCAAAACAAAAAGAAGTTAATTGCATAATGGAATATAAAATGATTTATTGAAAGAAAAATACTCAAATGCTTGATGCATGCATTTATTTTCCTTTCATAAAAAAATCACCATGCCTTAAACATGAATGAAACTGGCTATAAACTAAAATGAAAGTTTACATATAGTTTTTCATCACATTAAAAATCAGCTTCAGTCTCGAACAAAAATTCATAAATCAAGAGGGGAGATTCGGGAATTAATTTGCGTCATTATGTTTTGGCATGACCTTAACAGAAATATCGTTATTGTTCTGCCACGTTAGGACACCCTCTCGAGTCTTCGTACAGATAGTTTACCCAACATAAATTACATCAACTCTGGTGACTGTTGCATCAATGTGTTTTATGCGTGTGAGTGTTAAAGGACTGAAATATAAATCAACAAAAAAGTAAACCCTAATTTTCAATGCATAGAAATTGTCTATATTTTCAAAAAAAGTGAAGTTCCTACTTGTATGTATTGAATGCATATATATACATGTATATATGTAGAAAAAAACCTACAACATTCATACAAAATATTTTACACACAGTTTACTAAAATTATATAATTTCCGTTTTACAAATTTTATATCAACTTTACATTACTTAAATATATATGTACTGTGAAATCACTTATTTTCGTTGGGGGTTGTATTTTCGCTGTTTTCGTGGTATGAGAAACCAACGAATTCATGTCCACCACAAAACGTAAATTTTCATAAGCACAACTACTAAAAAGTTCTTCATACACGAAATCAAATCCCCAAGAACCAACATTTTTTTCCTTCAACCACGAAAATTTGACCCCACGAAAATATGTGATTTTACAGTAACTGATATCATGAATATAAAAAAAAATCTAGATAAATATTACTAATCGAAATCACCCTTTACTATCAATCATGTGTTTCAACCTTGATGGTGTGCATTGGTACGGACGGGCAGATACTAGTTACATGTACTGAAGTTATCAAAGATGAAATAACCCTAAAGCAGGAATTAGTAGTTGAATTATTGTGTCAAACAACATAATAACAATAGTACTGAGTGATTAGTATTTTATTTGGCTGAATGGGCCACGGCCGCTTCAACGCAGGAGCCGAGGCATCAATTTACTGCCTTTTGTAATGGCATTCTGAGAAAATGTGAACCCTGGGCACAGATGTCCACTGACTAGTCCATACTTAAAACATTTGTTAAAATGTTGAAAAAGAGTTCAATGAGCCTACTGGTAAGCCCAATATACGCATGCTTGGCGTGAACTGCTGGTATGTAAGGTTGCTACAATCAGGCAGCCGTGACGAGGGGTTCCTTGTAATGATGCAGCTGGGCTAGAAAATACAATCTGAAACGATAAAAATACTCGGCAGAAAAAAGGAAAAGGAAAGATAAAAACTGTGAAGAAATCTTCAGAGAAACCACACAAATGTGAACTATGTACGGCCAATTTATAAATATTAAACTTAAGGTGTTTCCACCCTCACAATTTTAATGGTTCAAAGTACAAAAACTGGATTTATTCCATTTAATATACTTCAAATTATTGCAAAAAATGTATAGGTCACCATATTATTTAAGATGCGAAACATAATAAACAGATGTGTATGTCAGCATAAAAAAAATCGCGCATTTTTTGTAAACAGTATTATGAAAAGTATGTAAAAAGTGGTTTAATGCGTAATTCTGATGCTGAATTTTCCTAAATACTAGTACTTCCTACTTATAAGATACTTTTGAATTGTGAATATCAGGGAAAATATTTTACATTAGAAGTACAATAAAGCAAATGCCTCAAAGAAAAGACCTCAGAATAGAACGAGTTATTGCCCTTTTCAACATTTTTAAAGATTGAATAATTGATGATTAAATAACAAAAATATGCATTTTAAAATTCTTTTACTTGACAATATTTATCATTGCACCTATTGTAAAGCATTCTTCCAAAAGATATTCTTATATTAGGTATGAATTTAAATTCATTACAGTTTTTGCAAAAACCTATGACACCAAAGGATGGTGGAATTACCTTAACACACAATTCTAGAAATCCTAGTCGACCTTTGTTTGATGAGGGTGGGAGGGTGGGTAAAAGTTTCAGCACAGATTGATGACGAATAAGTGCCTTGACGTCAGAGTTCCCTTGCTAGGTGGTACTAATATCCCCAAACTATAAATGGATCTGATAAATACCATACAAATTGCCCATTGAACCCGATGCATTTTCGACGAAGACAGACCACAAATATTTATTTCACTTCGATAAATAGATTTAACCTTTAATGGTTAAATCTCATTAAAAACGGGTATCATAAGTAATGAGCACAATTCTCTCTCATAGATTTGACATTTGGGAAAATGCCAAACTTTTTCAATCGTCAATGGCTTCCGTATTATATATAGCTTTAAATCAAAATGAGTGCTCATTTCAGAATTTTAAATTTATAAATGCAAATTTTCACAATTTTCACAATTTCTGTATTATTATTTTTACATTAAACAAGGGACCAGAATTGCTCGTTACCAAACTTTGTTCTTTCGAAAATGCAGTTTGTGAACTAATCTGACTTTTAGAATTTGTCCGCAAACTTCGTGCATTTGAGTTCAAGATCTAGCTTTAGTGGAAAATGGTGTGACTGATAATAAACCACACATTTGTTAATTTCCCACAAAGTACTAGTCAGCTAAATCCCAAATCTAGTGTTCTTATCAAAATATGATTGAGTAAGGACATGTGTAAAAATACTGTATCACTTATATTGTACGGATTGACTCGAACATTGCTACTTTAGATTGCGAAGTTCTATTTCTTTCATTCAAAATGTTTTGAATTATCCCGGTTTTGAATAAAAAGTACCCTTTGTACTGTTAAATAAAGGACTATCATGCTAATTTTATATTCTTCATAAGATTTTTTTATTGATTTAAAATTACATGCAGTAACAGCAAAAATGGATAATTTTTTACTGGACGATATAGGTTGTAGATGGATTTGCATAATTGCTTATGTGTATATTGGTATTGCAACTCTTTTTTAAGGGGATGCCTCCCATTGCAAAATTAAAAGATTAGGAAAAAGATAAAAAAAAAAACATCAACAACAAGAGCTCAGCAAAATGGGGCATCCTTCAGCGAAGCTTGCATTGCATTGTGAGAATTTATTTACGGTCCACTGCAAAATGAGAGCTTAGAACTTTCCCCTTTATTGGAGTCGAAAGCAAATTGAAAGATAAGGGGGGTGTTAGTGAAAAAAAATCCCTCTAAAGAAACTGGACAAGCTAAAAAATATGTGTTTGTGAAACACTGATGCCCCCTTATGGCAACAAAAAAAGGGAGAAGATTAAACTTTTCATGCATACAAATCTAATATATAGGTACCAAAAGTTGGATATCCATACTGAAAATACAATTTTGAAATTTAAAGGGTCAGGGTTAAAGTTTTTTCATAAGTATGAAAATCTCCAAGGTCAAAAGGTCAAGGTAATCAGTATCCAATGAAAGGACTTGAAACAAACAATACATATGTGAAGTATAGGAGCCGTAGCCCTAAGGATTCAAAGGTTATGGCCAAGATTCTACATTTCAAAAAGTAGGTCAAACTCCAAAATCAAGGTCAAAATTATTGATATAGAATGAAAGATCTTGTCAAAGATCAAATATGAAAAGTATGAAGCCTTAGACCTAACTCTTCAAACGTTACTGTCAGGGTTTGATATATAAAAGTAAGTTAAGTTCAAGGGTCAAAGTTCTTGGTATTCAATGAAGGATCTTCTCACAAGGATCACATAATTATGCACTAAGTCTAGGTTTTTGGGGTTCAAAAGTTTTGGTCCGGTTAAAGTTTTTTCAAAGGTAAGGAAATCTGCAAGGTCAAGGTCAAAAGGTCCAAGTTCTTGATATCCAATGAGAGTTATTGCAAAAAAAAATGGCTAAAGTAAAAGTTTGAAACTTTTTGTAAAAGTGGGTCAATATTTCCAAGGTCAAATGGTCAAAGTTTGTGGTAGCCAAAGGAAGGTTTTGTCACAAGGAATACACATGTGAAACTTGAGAGTCATAGCTCTACTAAATCAAAAGTTATGGGCATGATTAAAGTTTCTGCGGACAAAGAGACAAACTTTAACCTTTGCCATAACTTTTGAACGCTAACGGATAGGGCTTTCATACTTCATAAAAATATGAAATCCTTGTGAAAAGACCCTTCATGGTAACGGATACCATGAAATTTGACCCTTTGACCTTGACCTTGGAGTATGTCGTACTTTAAAATGCAAACCTCGACCATCATTTTTAAAGGGTTAGAGCTAGTTCTTGTTACATAACATTTCATTTGATAGCAGGGATTTTTGACCCTTTGACTTTGACCTTAGAGTTTGACCTGCTTTTTAAGAATTTTTAAAATTTTTAAACCTTAGCTACATGTATAACTTCTGAACAGTTAAAGATAGGACATTCATACTTAACATATTCGTTTGTGGCAAGACCTTTCACTAAGATACCAATTGCCTTAAAAACCTTTCACTAAGATACCAATTACCTTAAAAACTTTAGCCTAGCCCATAACTTTTCATGAAAGGAAGACTTTTATATTTCACATGTGTATTTCTGTGACAAGACTTTTCTTTGGCTACCACAATATTTGACCTTTTAATCTTGGACTTTAACTAACTTTTACAAAAAATCCAAACTTTTACTTTGGCTATATCTTTAGAACAGTAAATACCAGGACCTTTATTCTTCATACAATCATGTATTTTTTTTTTACAAAGACCTTTAATTTCGAAGCCAACATTCACCTTGACCTTGGAGATTTCCGCACATATGAAAAAAAATTAAACTTGGCCATTATAACTTTTGAACACTAAGGGCTAGTGCTCTTACTATTCACATATGCGATTCTTGTGAGAAGACCTTTCATTGGATACCAAGTATCTTTGACTCTAGGAACTTGACCTACCTTTCAAAAAGCAAACTTGGTCCATTACTTTTAAAGGGTTAAGGCTAGTTCTTTCATTATTGATAGTTCATACTTTACATATTTAATCATTGTGACAAGGCGTTCCATTTATCATCAAGACCTTTGATCTCTTGAGCTTGAAGTTTTGACATGCTTTTTAAAAATTTTTAACATTGGTCATAGTTTTTGAAAGGTTGGGGCTAGGGCTTCCATACTTAACATATGTTTATTTTGTGGCAAGACCTTTCATTGGATACCAATTATCCTGATTTTGTTACCTTTACCATGTAGATATCCGTTCTTAGGACTAATAATTAAACATTGACCTTCTTCCATATTTCACAGTTGCATTTTTTGTTAGAATATCCTATATATACATTTATTAAAATTGCATTTAAGAAATGCTTAATTTTTAATATGTTGCCATACGGGGACATTTGCGTTCCAAAAAACACATCTTGTTTTAAATAGAGCTTATGCAATATAGGAGTTTCCTCTAAGTCTGTCCGTTATTATGTCTAGTTTTCTCTATGTCAGGCTCTCCAGTTTGCTTTTTCGACAGTTGCAGATATTGAGCTGATTTTAGTTAAAGTTGATGAGTCATAGAACAAGCTTGAATATCCTTCTGTTTCATTGATTTTTGAGAAAAAAAACGACCTTTTTAATTTTAAGGATTTTCCGCTTATTTCCCAACCGTGCATAGACACTGACCTGATGTTAGGTTTGTGAGTGAAGCTTGATGATTTACATATCACGTTCATTCTGCTTTATTGATTTTTGAGGAAATTCCATTTTTTTTTATTATTTCAAGGGTTATGCAATCTTTAATCTGAATACTTTCAGATAGATATTCAGCTGATTTTTAGTACAGTATGTGTGTCTACCTTGATAAGTTATACATCAAATAGCATTATAATCCGCTTCAATGATTTGTTTTCGGATCGAATTACACATTAAAAAAAAATAATGGGAACCAGATTACACTTGCCTTAAGGGGATGTGTAGTGCTAAATATTATACAATCATTGCTGTTTTGAGGTCTATACGATGATCTAGCTACATGTACCTAGGGAATACAATATTTACCAATGCCGGAGGGAGGTCCCTTACACTCCCACTTACTACCCCACTCCAAATAATATATTTAGCTTATGTAAAGTTTACATAAGTTTAGTAGGTAGCATGTGTAATAACTTAAAAAAATATATTTGTATCAATTTGGAATATCCCGATTTATTTTAGATCAATTTGGAGAAAATTAATTCTTATATTCACCTGGAACATGAGGCGTAGGAAAATATAATAGAATAAAACAGTATTTTTTATACATAGTTGCATCTCAACCAATCAGAATGATAAGAATTATTTAAGCATGTAATAAAATGCGATAAACTGAGAATGTTAATTTCTATGGCAATTACTGGCTCCGCCAACGGAGTTACTGATTCTTTGAAGAAAAACAAATTATCGGAGAGGTAAAGGAAATTCCTCCGACCAACATTCTGAATATACTATTTTGGTATATTAAAAATTGTTTTCGAAACAGGTTGGCCACCCAAATTTAGATTTTTGCTTGTCAGACAATTTCTGGGGGAATACCCCCCTCCCCCCCACACCTTTGAAACCGTTGCTATGGTCAGATTACGCTGAAAAATGTATTTTCTAAATAAATGAATTTCTTATATACAATAAATATAATCGAGATAATTTTTTTTTTACATATAGAGGTAACTTTTCGTAAAGATAAAACATCATTGAATTATTCTTATCTCAATGTCCTGCCTGCTTTAATGTGCAATAACTTCTGATCATGCGAAAAAGGTCTATCTACACTCCTACAGTCAAGGCCAAAACATAAAAGGTATTTAAAGACCCCAAATCCAATTCAAATCATATTGATAGCGGATTTTCCTCTTTATAAACAGGGTTAGAATTTTGTTGAGAAAAATGAATCAAGTCATATTAATGGTAATTATGATTTTTGGATGTTTTAAGACTTGCAAATTATTTATGTTCAACAATGACAATACCACTCCGTCAGCTTCAGTGACGAAAGATGTTACATTTGCTGTTCTTGCACAAGAGATGTTGCAGATGAAAGCAAGTATAAAAACTTGTGAATCAAGGATTCAAAAACTTGAAGATGGAACTGGAAATTTAACAAGCATGACTGAGTTTCAGAACGCTTTAAAGAAGTTAAATGATTTAGAACAATTAATGAAATCCCAGGCAAATGAAACAATGGTGATTAAAGAAAAGTTACAGCAAATTAGTGCCCAGTCTCAAGCCTTTAACCCAACAACAATTTTAGCGTCTGTGAGCAGACTGCAAGGAAATATTTCATTTGTCGAATCCTCTCTCCTGAGCATTCAAAGTGCAATGGCGGCTATGGCGGAAAAATCAACATTCGTTGATACAATATTCGTACCCAATCGTAAGTTTTCAACCGTATATTTCGAGAACATATAACAAACACAAATTGTAATGTTTTACTATATTATATTTTTTTAAATGTCAGATCACCTTTATAAAAAATGTTTGTTGCCCTCTTCCAAGGGACTATCTAACCGACTCAAAAATTCAATTTTCTCAACCTTCAAGAAACGATTTTTTTTCTTTTCATTCATGCATTTTTATGCCTCTAATATGTTTATAATAAATTCAAATTTTCAGAGAAAAAAAGTCCTACCTAACCGACCTAATTTCCCCCTGAATCGGTAAAGGGCAAATAAACATTAATTTAAAGGTGACCTGATCAACTTTATTGTACCCCGATTTCGCATAAGCGAGGGGCATGAAATCTTATTTGTTTGTTAATTTTTGTCTGTATGTCACAAAAACTTTAACCATTGTGATAACTTTTGAACGAAATATTTCACATTGCACTATCTGTGACTATCTGAGTGTATTTTTTTAAAATATACTACGATTTTGAATCTGTGTTGTGGCCTTGAAGGTTGACCGTTTTCTCAAAATAAAATAATAACACAGTGACCTTGACCTTAAAGTTTGAACTACTTTTCAAAAGTGTTATCTTTCCTTATAAATTTTGATTAAGAACAACTTTTTGGGGCAAAATGCGTTTCATCTAACGGCATTAGTCAAAACAGTTTGATTATTGAGTTCGTCGAAACGCATGTTGCCCTCGAACTCATTACATACATATATCCCTAACAAAAAATACCATAGTTAACTATAGTTACTTTGATACTTTGCAAAAAACTTTATCGAAAAGTTTGACACTTTTGAAAACTTAATCGACAAACTTTGACGCTTTGAAAAAACTTTATCCAAAACTTTGACAATTTGAAAAACTTTGTCGAATACTTTGACACTTTGAAAAACTTTGGTGAAAATTTTGACACTTTGAAAAACTTTGGCGAAAAGTTGGATACTTTGTAAAACTTTATCGAAAAGTTGGATACTTTGAAAAACTTTATCAAAAACTTGGATACTTTGAAAAACTTTGACTCTTTGAAAAATTTTATTGAAACTTTTGACACTTTGAAAACCTTAATCAAAAGACTTTGATAATTTGAAAAACTTTATCGAAAACTTTGACACTTAGAAAAACTTTATCGAAAACTTTGACACTTTGTAAAACTTTATCAAAAACTTTGACACTTTCAAAAACTTTGTTGAAAACTTTGATACTTTATAAAACTTTGGCGAAAACTTTGACAATTTGAAAAACTTCGGCGAAAACTTTAACACATTGAAAACTTTGGCGAAAACTTTGACACTTTAAAAAAAACTTTGGCGAAAACTTTGAACACTTTGAAAAACTTTGTCAAAAACTTTGACACTTTAAAAAAACTTTGGCGAAAACTTTGACACTTTGAAAAACTTTGTCAAAAACTTTGACACTTTGAAAAACTTTGTCGAAAACTTTGATACTTTATAAAACTTTGGCAAATACTTTGACACATTGAAAAACTTTGGCGAAAACTTTGACACTTTAAAAAAAATTTGGCGAAAAGTTGGATACTTTGAAAAACTTTATCGAAAAGTTGGATACTTTGAAAAACTTTATCAAAAACTTGGATTTTTTGAAAAACTTTGACTCTTTGAAAAACTTTATCGAAAACTTTGACACTTTGAAAAAGTTTATCGAAAACTTTGACACTTTGAAAAACTTTGACGAAAACTTTTACACTTTGAAAAACTTTGGCAAAAACTTTGACATTTTGAAAAAAACTTAGCAAAAACTTTGACACTTTGATTTACTATTGTTAACTATAGTAAACTATAGTTAACTATAGTATACAGTTAGGAATGGGTACGAGGGAAATAGCAAATTTATGGTTCCCCGACGGAGGAAACTATTTTTCTGCCAAGGGGAATCATAAATTTGCTATTTCTCGAGTTCACATTCCATTACTCTTTTATTATACCGAAACAATCACAGGCGATTTAACTTTTTTTACCAGAGATTCCGACATTTAAAAAAAAAACACTCTAGAGGCATAATTACAAATGCATGCGGTTAAACAGATTGTATGATAAGTAATGCATCGTGTCCAAAAACAATTGAGTTATTTTTAAAAAGTATTTTCACTGACATTTCGAAGAATGAAGAATTAACGTTATCTTCATTTTGCTACAATTCAAGTTAGATTTTGACATCGCATATCGAAATGTTTTGACGTCATAGTTAGATTGCTAATAACATGACGTAAGAGACTCGAGATTTCTTGAACGTTCCGCCCTATGAACACTTTGATTGGTCAAAATTACTAATAAATATTCATGAGGGAGTAGTCCTAGGGAGTAGCTCTGATTTTCCAGGGAGTAGTCTTCAGATGAGGGAAATTGTCTCTTCTCGGGAAATAGACAGTTTTATGGAATTAATTTTATAGAGTAATTACAGTAGAGGTATAATAATAAACTATAGTTAACTATAGCGTTTTTGTAAGGGATAATACGATGAAATTTAGGAATATCCTTTTTCTATAGTTTGTAGAAAAAATACAATGGCATGCCATTTTAGAATTGTGTTATACTGATTTCAGTTTACATGTCATGAACAAATGCTTTTAACGCATATAATATTGCAAATAGATTTATGCACTGGTAGAGACCTTCGCTTGATTATGCCAACAAATTATGATTTTTCTAGTTCAATATTAACCACAAATGATCAACGCCATTTTTGACGTATAGGTGACTTTTCACACCTTGACAACAAATCTACAATAAATGTAGAAAACCTTTTTTCTTTGAGTCTATTTTGGCATTAAAAACAAGTACTCTGGATGAACTTTATTTCTCTGTAAACATTTAAACATTTTCTGTGACTATACCAGTTTTTAAGGGGCATAACTTTATAGAGTATTATACAGTTATGGAATGGGTACGAGGGAAAAAGCAAATTTATGGTTCCCGGAGGGAGGAAACTATTTCCCGAGGCGGCGAAACCATATCTCTTTAAAATAGTCCTTAACTGAAATAAAATTTAAATACTTAAATTCAGTATTGTTTCATTTCTTCAAAAGCTAAAAGTTAATGTATTACATTGCTTTGTTTAAAAGATATCATTTTCTATAGACAGATAGTCTTGATTAAAAAAGTAAAAAATCATGACGTCGAAGGACGTCACGGAGCAGCGAATAGCAATATAAATTTCTTTTGCATTTTGAAACTTTTAAAACAAACTCTGAAAATGCTGGAGAAACCAGGAAAAATACATAAAAGGAGCCGTGTATTTGTTTATAATGGAACAGACAATTTTTGAGGGGTAAAGACTTTAAATTGGGCGATGGGCGTTCTGCAAAGAAACAGATTGTAGTTCAAAATCATGTCAAAAGAGTTAGTAATGTCATGAAACTATTGTGCGCTTCACTTTTGCGGAACCTGTAAGAGCAGAGTTACATGGTAAAGGATTTGAAAACTTTGACAATCTTATTTAAGGTATGCTCAAATTATTGTTAGCATACTAGGTGTCAAGTGTTATGGATACGTTTTAATGAATGAGGAATACGATACAAACCGTGTATAAAATGAAAAGGCACTGTGAGTTTGAGAAATTTTCTTTAACGTTGTTTTTTGACGTTAAAATGTTTTTGACCGTGCTCCGTAGTGACAAAACTTGCTGCTTTTTAAACTGGCTAACATGAGTTCTGTTTAATCAAATGGAATGAAACTTCAGAAATCTACAGAATATATCTTTTTACATATAAAAATGTACTGATATTAAACTTTGTAAAAATAATGTGATAATGAGGAATATTGTCTACGTATTTCTTGAATGACCCTTGTATATTCATACAGATTTTCTTATTTCATTCTGTAGGACTCCGGTTAGTGGGAGGAGATCAAAATTCTGGTCGAGTTGAGTATTTGATTAATGGTACCTGGAATGCAATTTGCACCTACGGCGGATTTGATAACAATGCAGCAAAAGTGATATGCCGAATGCTAGGCAGGCCATGGTAATTTAAAATTTGATAGATACTCTACTATAGATCTTTACATGTAGATGTCTCCAGATCCTGCTTTAGTCTTTTCGAAGATATGTATATACTCTATGAAATATGATTTAAATCAGATGTTAGACATTTTAACATTCTAGTGATATATTTTTTTTTTCAACAAATCTATATCTTTATGGTTGTGACACTATTGCTTGACTTTTCAAGAAATGCTATCAAAGGAAGTATTAATGCAATTGTTATAAAAAAGAAAATCACTGACAAAGGATCAAACCATATTTTTGTGTAAACAAAACAATTTTTGCGATTGAAGGAAACCTATGGCATTAATGTATGCCTTAAAGACATTGACCGAATATCAACCCATTAAATCAATGTTACTCATATTTTATTATTCGTTGGCATTCATATACTATTAAGTAAGTTATGGGGATGTATTTCAATTTTTTGTCAATCCTGGAAGTACTTGGAATCTCGTACAAGAGGTACGAGCTCATTTGTCACATAAAACATTCATGCAGACCAAGAGACAAATACCTTTTTTTTTTCTTAACAAAAATATAAGAATTATAATTACTTATAATTAGATAGTTCAGGATATTCATAAAAGTAAAATCTTCATTTCTGTGTAATGGTAAAATGAATCATTAAAGAGTACCACAGGTAGGTAATCTTTAAGTAATGGTATGTTTTCAGGCAAAACGCTCTGGCATATTTAAACTCTGAATTTGGAGATGGTTCTGTGCCTATGCATTTATATGATGTGCAGTGTTCCGGACATGAAGTTCTTCTTGAAGAATGTCACCACGCTGTTGGTTCAACCTGGCATTGCTATGGACATAAGCAGGCTGGAGTTCGTTGTCGTAAGTAGAATTTAAATAGTTTGTATGATTCTGTATCGTTTTCAGGTTCTTTTATGGAATTCGGCTGTTCTGAACAATTAAAGAATTAATCGCATTTCTCAATCAGATATTAAAATCAATAATATATACATTAACTCCTTTGTTTCTCGGGAGAGCACGCGCCTTCAAAAGACTGAGGTGCATCCGCTTCTTACTTTCAATCAAACAATAAATCAAGGTACTATATATATATATATAAAATATCTCTACAACCAATCAAAGTCTCGAAAGTCTATTTCAGACATCTAAAACTTGATTCAAGATATCCCTTGTAGTACCTACATCATGTACATGTATCACGTTTGACTCAGAACTCTGTATAACACCGTCTTTCTTATACAGCCGAGAGAAACTCCACCAAATCAACCTAACTGTCTCCCTATTTATACATGCTCCACGTGGAGAACCGAAGGGAACAAAAAGACAGGAACAATAACTCTACCACAAGAAAGAAAACTTTGTATTATATTTTCCGTGATTGAGAACTCTTCGCAGCAAAAGCGGAAATTGGATACACGCGGAAAAAACTTTATATATATACGGTATGAATTACAAAATTTTCACACAAAGACATTTTTTTTTAGATATTACCTTTTATACCTATTATGCATGACGGAATTGTTAAAAATACCACAAGCAAAATGGGGTGATACTTGCATTGTATACGTGCTCCTTTATATTTTTTCATGCAAGATGAATTACAATAAATTTGTTTTCATGTTAAAGATACAAGTCAAATAGTTTAAAAACATATTGATTTTAAATATAATTTTTCATTTTTCGCTCTTTTAAGATTATTGTTTAATAATAAATAATGTCTGAAAATAATCTATTTTTAGATTTTTACACTGTCTTTGCATGTGCTACTGTTTTTTAAAATAGCATATAAAAAACTGTTTGTAATACCTAAATATTAAAAGCAAGTGGCAAGAAAAGAAATATCAACCTTTTGAAAATTCCACACAGACTTTTCGGACATAGGTCCCCCCTTAACTCTAGTAAATGAGTAGAAACCTGTAAACATTGACAAAAAAAGTGTTTTGCTTCTGTCATTTTGATTAAAATCTACCACCGATGATGTCTACATGTAGATATTTGGGAATTGATCATGTCGTGTAAAGAAAATTTGGCTGAGACGCATGAACAAAGATCCGTAAAAACTGATTTAAAAGCAAATATCATGAATATTTTGTAAAATTCAAATGGAGTTCAGTTTATCAAACAGGTATGTTAATTTGTTTTCATTGATTATATAATTATTCTTTTTCGAGGACAGTCAGCTATATACGTATCCCGGCCGGTGTAAAGACGAATAATGACCCCCATCGAAAAATGACCGGGGGTCATTTTTCAACGACAAAAAATGACCCCCCACCCGTAGAAAAAAAAAATCATTTTTTGTAGAAAAAGAGTCCTAGGGGTCATTATTTTATATGTTAGTCCTATAAAAAATTTGACACCCATTGAAAAATGACCCCCTTTAAAGTGATACAAAATTTAGAACAGGTGAAAGGGAAAATATGCTGTATATTATAATGTTCTTCCTTCGAGTAATTCATGCATTTGTTCGAATAGATTTGATTTTTGTTCTTCTAAGCACGTAGGGGCAATAAAGTTCCTCATTTCTCTTTGCCGAAATATTGACAAATCAGTTTTAAGCAATTAATTAACAATCAATCAATTAATCTTCATTTCTCTGATAAAGGAGTAAACCTAGAAAATCAAAGATGGTACATGTAAATGGATCAAACGCACGCTGGAAAGAGAGAGAGAGAGAGAGAGAGAGAGAGGCATACCTTTTCCATAATTTTAACGTATGAATAAACTTTATTAAGAGATTAATTTTTAATATTTTTTTCACAATATACACTGTTTGATATCTTTTTTACAGCGAAACTAATTTTTAAATTTTCTGTAACCAGAAAAATACAAAAAGTCGTATGAAATAATTAAAAGACTCGCGTAGTCTTTCAATGCTAAAATTGTGTTCAAAAGAGATTCTTTAATTGTCAAGTAAATAAAATTTCTTTTTAATATTCCTCCTTATAATATTTGCTTAAAGAATGATATTCACTTGTTTTTAGAAATCAAACCATGCAACAATCAGGTTTAAATACTCTTTAATAGGAAAATTAATTTTTCCTTCATTTCAACTTTTAGCTTGTATAAGTTTGGCAAATCCTATTTGACAGTGAAAGAGGAGGAAATTTTTATACCCCCCCTCCCCCCCAAAAAAGAACATTACCTTAAATCAAAACAAAAAAAAAATAATAAATGAAAATCAAAAATATAAATAAAACTCTATACCTTTGAATAATACTGAAAGAGGCTCAAGATAAAATATTGAAATGAAGTTAAGCCTTCAAACAAGTACTATCATATCATAATTTACTTCGCCATGATTAACGCATACTTTAAATGTTGGTGGGGGTATATACTTGAAAGTATTGTGGCAAAGTAACAGTTGAAAATTAGTAGAATAATATAATATTTTAAGCATCTTTTTAGTCCCACCTTATAGAAAAATAAAGGTAGGATAGATTTTTAGATTTTGTTGCTTTTGTTGATAATCGACTTCCTCCTAAATAAGTAAGGGGCTGGGGAGAGTATAACACCTAAAAATATGCTCTGTAAAGCTGTGGGCTAGTGTAATATACACATTCTAATGCAAAAACTATACATGTAGACATAACATTTTGATTTAGCACACAGTATTCATAAAATTTCTTAATTCTTGTTTTACTCCACCCTTTTACTCAGTTCTGAGTATATTTTTCAGAGAATTTGATATGAAAATCGGAACAAACATTTTCATTTTTGTAACGCCTTCTTTATACTGTATCATAATATGAAAAGTTAATTGAAGACCATTTCTTTTTTTTTGCCCCCGTAATCGAAGATTCGGGGGTACATGTGTATATAGTTTTATCGTGTCCGTCTGTATGTCTAGCTGTCTATCTGGCGGTCTGTTTGTCCGCAAAAACTTTAACCTTGACCATAACTTTTTATTTATTGGAGCTATGACTTTCATATTTAATATATGTATTCCTTGTGACAAAACCTTACTTCGGGTACTACCAGATTTGACCTTTTGACCCTTACCTTGGAGTTTGTCCCATTTTACACAAAAATGCCGAATTTTTACTTTGGTCATAACTTTTAAACGGTAGATACTAGTACTCTCATACTTCACATATGTATTTTTTTTGGCATGAACTTTCATTGGATACTAAAAACTTTGACCTTTTGACCTTGACCTTGGAGATTTCCTTACTTATGAAAAAAAAACTTTAACCTTGGCCATAACGTTTGAACGGTAAGGGATAGGGTTTTCATACTTCACATATGCAATCCTTGTTACATTAAACCTTTCTTAAGAAACCATCAACTTTGACCCTTTGACCTTTGAGTTTGACCTACCTTTCAAAAACTTATCCTTAGCCATTACTTTTGAACAAGTGGTGCTAGAGCTTTCCTATTTTGCAATTGTATTTCTTGTTAGAAGACCCTACATTGGGTACCAATATATTTAAATTGCATTTAAGAAAAGTTTAATCTTCGCTATGTTGTCATACAGGGACATAGCTGTTTCAAAAACACATCATTTTATATATAAGAGGAGCTGCGGATAAGAGATGGATACCCCAAAGCGTAACAGACGGACGGACGGATATCCCGATCATTATATATACCCTCCCGCTTTTCAAGCGGAGGATATAATAATATATAATACTGCTAATTTTTTCTGTCAGTACGATGATTTCCACCATCGAAAAACATGTTTACCTAACCCTTTAGGCTCGATAAATCTTTTACTCCTTTAGCTTCTGAATCATCGCATTGACCTTAAAATATAGCTATAATTGTATAATGTTATGAGATCAACATATCATCAATTTATTCCCAATTAACTCAGGTGAGCATTTTGGCCAATATGCTTCTTTATCTAATTTTTTTTGCCCCCTAAAAATTTCAGCTTTAATGCAGGGACGTAACAGCCGGGGGGGGGGGGGGGGGGGGGGGGCCTACTTTTTCCCCCAACATAACCTTTACTATATGTTCATTGAAAAGATGGTTGCCCCCCCCCACTTTATAACCATCGTATAGTGATATCAAGGATTGTAGGGAAAAAATTGGAAGTGATAGTAAGTTGAAAAAATTGGCCACTAACCCCCCCCCCCCCCCCCCCCCCCCCCCCCAGGAAATTGGATTTTCGAGTTTGAGCAACTTTTTATTTTCTTTTCTTTTTTTTTTTTTTTTGTTTTTTTTTTGCTTGTCAACTTTTTCAGGTAAGTAAAAAAAAATTTCCCCCTCCCTCCCCCCCCCCCCCCCCCCACTTTCAAAAACGATGCTACGTGCCTGTAATCAACAGGGAGTCATTTTTCTTCGCGTGGGTTCTGCAAATATTTAGGGTGGTGACACTTTTTCTACGGGCAAAAGGGTCATTTTTCGACGTCAGATAATGACTGGGGGTCATTTTTTACGCTGTCGAAAAATGACCCCCGGTCATTATTCGTCTTTACACCGGCCTTTTCTCTGCCATTCGTGACAAAAATACTGCAACAGAACAAGCTGAATATTTCAAAACATATGATTTGTACAGATGGAAAATTTGTCTTCTAAAATGTTTGCTTTCTAAAATGCTTGAAAAATGCTGCTAGAATCTTGAATGAAGCACAGTTTTTTTTCTTTTTTTTTCTTTTTTTTTTTTAAAGAAAAATCTTGGTTCATATGTATAAAATTCGAGACATCGGGTAAGGTTTCGTACAAATGCGTGGAATAATTATTTTACTAAAAGGACAGTGGGATTCTGATGATACATGATGCCGAAGTTATGGTGCATGTCTTTGCGCTAGACACTCTTTTATATTTAATGCTTTCATTGCTGTAATGAAAATAAATTGTATTATGTTTATGCATCATATTCTAATAACTGCAACTGTGTGTGCGGAAATAATGAG